TAAGAGTGAAGGGCAATGCCGGGTTGGCTTTAAAGCAGGCACTTCGGATCATGGACATGTGTGTTGCAGTGTTTGGGATATCTTTCCCTCCACAAGCCAGTTGTCCTGCGGTCATCACCAAAACCAGAGCAATTCTTTCAGAGTCGGCAGAAGCTCATCATCACGACACACCTGAGCCCCTTAACGTGGACTTTTGCTTAAGGAGGTGGGCCGGGAGGTGGAGGGGACGCGAGGGAGCAGACAAGGCAAACTGACTTCTTGGTTATAAACCAAAGTTCGCTGCAACCCAGTGAAGGAGGCACAAAACTCCGAAGGAAGGTTTCCCGTCCCCGGCAGCAGTAGCTGCGGCTGGGCGCCCGCACGCATCCTACCTTGGACCTCTCCTTGACATAGTATTTGCCCAGCCGGCTCCCGCAGTACAGGACCAGCCTGTCGATGAGGGACAGGAGGAAGTTGATGGCCTCGCAGCCCTCCTCATTGCCCCCGATCCACGTGATCTGGTCGCCCCGCAGGTGCCGCTTGGAGACGCCGGCGCGCGGCCCCGCCAGCTGGCCGTCACGCAGGGCCCCGTTGTAGTGCAGCTGCTTGACTCGCTCCAGCACGCAGTCGCCCACCACCTCGCCTAGGAAGTTGTCCAGGTAGCAGAAGCCGACCTCGTGCAGACAGGGCACGATGTACTCCAAGGCGATCTTCTCCAGATCCAGCCTCATAATGTGTCCCAGAGGCATCTTGCCTGCAGAGCCGACGCGGGGGACCCCCACGGTGCACGCGCCAAGGGCTTGAGCTTGACCTGCTCGAGCTTACAGCCGGGAGGCGGAGAGCCGGGCCCGGGGCTCACCCACCTGCGGCGGCCACGGTCCCCGAGCCACTTTAGCTCCAGGGGCAGGGAAAGTTGCTCGCAACTCTGGGAAGAAGGGAGTCCCGCTCCAAGACCGGCAGGAGCAGTGTGCGGCTCCGCCACCCAGCGCCGGACTAGCCCAGTGAGAAGTCAGAGGGCCCCTTTTGGCGATGCAAAGGCACCGCCGCGGCGGCCGCAGCCAAGGGAGGAACAAGAAGAGGCCCCGCCTTGACCTTAACGTCATGGTCCCGCCCCCGGCCCAGCCCTCCTCCGAGCCCTTCCTCCTGAACTGGTGCTGCGGAGTGTGGGGCGAGTCCTTCACTAACCTGTGTGTGACCCAAGAAAGGGCTGGAATTTTTTTAAATGCTCTCGATTTACATATTATTTTGCATAAAATCTCCTAACAAATTTGAAAATCTGGGTCCCAGGTCTGAGATGTACGTGAACTTAGCTGCACAATTTACAGCCACTTTCGGGGAGTCACCTCTCTGGTGACTGTATTTAACTGTTGACCTCGCGCTAGCCTCACCTGGTGTCTTTTCGTCCTCCCTTTCCCTCTTCTGTTTGACTCGGGTCTGGCAGTTCCAGCCCCTGAGGGTGTAAGATGAATTCAGTTTTAACTGAAACTGATACATTAACAAATATTCCCCTTGGCACCCCCCACATGCCAGGCTGGTGTGCATAACTGAGGGGAGGCTTTATGGGAAGGAGGGGCGTTGCCAAACCCTGCAAATGTTTGTATTTTGCCCTGCAGGAGCTGTTCATGCCCCACTTACTACCCAAGCTCCTTACTAAAAGGCTCTGCAAGTCTGCCTCAAACCACTCACATGCTCCCCAAGAGATACACTGCCTTCCAGGTCTCTCTGACTTTTGCCACAAGTAACTGCACTCGCGAGGGAGTGCAAGACCCTACCTAAGAGACTTAAATATCTACCGATAAACTGGCGGCTGTATGCTCTCTGATGCCCTTTCCTTCCAAACACTAGAGATCAGAAGGGGTGGGGGGGAGATGGAGGGAAGGAAAGGGAAGAATGGGGGGGGAGGGAAGTATTGAAGCTGACATGCAAAGCCATTTTTTCCATTTTCTGAATTTCACATCTTTGTACATTTGGATTTTCATTTAAGTTGAATGAAAAACTGCCCCAGTCTTTCGGGCTTCATTATTTTGGACATAAAGTCCCTACAGCCTTTTCACTTTCAACCTCTTCCCAATAGCCCCTCTCCTCTTCCAAGGGCAGAAGCAGGGTGCAGTTCATACCAAGAAAGAGAGGCAGGATAAGAAAGAGTGTTGATCCAGTTATAACATAAAAAAAAAAGAAAAAAAAAAAAAAAAAAAAGAAAGAGTGTTGATGGGCTGGAAGAAGCCTGGGGCAGGTGAGGGCAAGCAGGCCCCTGGGGAGTGGCAGGCTATGGTGGAGGGTGAAGCAGGTTTCATGGAACCTAGCTAGCTCTATGGAGAACGGGCCCTGGGAGTGCCTGGATGGCCTCTTGGATATGTCTGTCCTGCAGGAGGTGTCCTTCTTTTGCATAAAGGTCCAAATTGGCCTGAGCTCAAGAAGTTGTCAACAGAAAGCCCCCAGCAGCACAGGGTGATAGGAGCCCACGTCCTTGAAACACAGATGCCAGCACATGATAGATGGTTGGAAAATAGTTCTTGAAACCGGGAACCTGGGCCAGCCCTGCAACCTCCACTTGAGATTTTAGACAGGGAGCCAGCAGGACAGATCCTTTTGCAAGAGGGATTGAGGAGCCTCCCAGGGTATTCCCTGGGATGGAGTGTCAAGAACAAGACCTTTGTGGCCACTGGAGGGGGACAGTGAGAACTTCTGTAACATGTTAGTCTCGCCAGCTGGCCCTGTCTTGTCCCAGTATTGGCAAATAAAGAGAAGGCTGGAGGGTTATTTATCTCCATTGGGAGCAGGATGGAAATGACTTCCAAAGAGAAGGAAGGGCCATCTCCCCACTGTTATCTGAATCCCCTGTCTCTAGGAGCCACTCTGAACCCGGGTATGCCCTTCTGCAGAAACACTGTGGCTAGCCAGGTGAGGTAGGGAGTGCCTTGGGGCTTTTGCAACATAGAGACTATAGTAGACCTCAGAGTAGATAGCTCTGAAGAAGGGTCAGAGTAGCAGATAGTTCTTGGAAACTGGCCAACATTCTTCTAACCTATGGTTCCATTTAGGTCCAACCCATTCATAAGTAGGCAGTTTTTCATCAAGACCTCTGGCTCCCCAGTAACCCACTGGAGACTTTTTATTAATTATAAATGCTCAGCCAATAGCTCAGGCTTATTACTAACTAGCTCTTACATCTTAAATTAACCTATTTTTTAAAATCTACACTCTACCACATGGTGATACCTTTTTTTTTCAGCATGGCATATTTATCTCCTACTTCCTCAGTATCTGGCTGGCAACTCCACCCTCCTTCTTCCCAGCATTCTCTTGTTTGACTCTCATTCCTAACCTCTTTCTGCCTAGCTATTAGCCAGTCAGCTCTTTATTAACCATGAAAGCAGCACATCTTCACAATGTACAAAAGGATTACTCCACAGCACCCATGTTCCCGAGGCTGACAGAAGGGGATTTAAAGGCCTGAAAACCTACAGTCCTTGTGGAGGGGTTAGTTAATAAAACACACAAAAGTGAACATTTCAGGGGTATTTAGTACAACCACAGTGTGTTCCAGCCACCACCTCTCTCTAAGACAAAAACGTTTGCGCAGCCCCAAAAGGAAATTCTAGACTCCTTGAGCAGTAATTTTCTATTCCCACCTTTCACCAGTCCCTGGAAACCACTGATCTGCTTCTGTTTCCATAGAGTTGCTTATACCAGACACGTCCCGTAAGTGGATCATACTATATGAGACTTCTTCCAGCTGGCTTCTTTCATGTCACTTGAAGCTGTTTTTCAGGTTTACCCACATTGTATCACTTATCAAAGCTTCATTTTTTATGGCTAAATAATAATTCATTGTGGGTATACCATAATATGTCTACTTAACAGTTAATGGGTACCAGGAAGCAAGTTGGAGGGGACAGGGTTTATTTGGCTTGCACTTCCACATCAAACAGGGCAGGAACCTAGAGGCAGGAGATGATGCAGAGGCCATGGAGGGGTGCTGTGATGTGGGAGTGTCATATCAATCTGTTGATTTCATTGGCTGAGCAATAAAGAAACTGCTGGCCCTGATAGGTTAAAAGATAGGTGGGCGGAATAAACAGGATAGGATGCTGGGCGGAAGAGGAAGTGAGGTCAGACTCTGCTCTGCTCCTGGAGAGACCCCATGCTCTGCTGTCCCTGGCAGATGTATGCAATGAAGCTCCTCTCAGCTCCGAACCCAGAATGGACATAGGCTAGAATCTTCCCGGTAAGCGCACCTTGGGGTGCTTACACACATCATTAGAAATGGGCTAGTCCAGGTGCGAGAATTAGCCTGTAAGGGCTAGAGTTCATGGGCCAAGCAGTTCTTTAAATGAATACAGTTTGTGTGTTGTTATTTCGGGCCTGAGCTAGCCAAGCGGCCGGGGTGTTGGGGACGCAGCCCCGCCGCCGCTCATATTTCATCAGTGCTGCTTCCCCTGGCTTGCTCAGTCTGCTTTCTTCTGTAGCTCAGGACCACCAGCCAAGGAGGACACCATCCACAGGGGGCTGGGCCTTCTCACATCAATCACTAATTAAGAAAATGACCAAAGCCTGATGTTATGCTGACATTTTCTCGACTGAGGTTCCCCTTTTCAGACAACTCTTTGAGTGTCAAGCTGATCTAGGACAAGCCAGCACAATGGTATCTGGGTTCTTTCCACCTTCGAGCTGTTATTAGCAGAACTTTTGTGAACATGTATCTAAGAATTTGGGTATCCATTTTCAATTTCGGGGATAAAGGTATGTACCTAGGAGTGAAATTTTGGAGTCACACTTTGAAAAGCCACCAAACTATTTCCTACCACTTCCTTTTTTTGCACTCCCACTTGTAGCATGAATAATAAAAGCCCAGAGACAGATTTGGGGGCTCCAGCTGAAGATCAGAAAAGCAAAGCAGCCAGCCATTGGCTCTCACCGCTACCTAAGACTAAAAAGATCCTATCTCAATGAATTGTGAAGACTCCACACTCCACTGAGTTCCTGTGTCTCTCCCTTATATTCCTCTCTCCGCCCAGCCATATTGCTCCTGTCTCCATCTGCCTAGTGCCGGGATTAAAAGCATGTGATCCCAAGTGCTGGGATCACCTTTCTGTGAACTTTGTCTCTCCTTTAGACAGATTCAATCTTGTGTGGCCCAGGGTAGCCTTGAACTCACAGAGATCCTTCTGCCTCTGTCTTCCGAGTACTGGGATTAAAGGTGTGTACCACCACTCCCTTACCTGTACGGCTGACTAGTATGGCTGCTTTGTTCCCTGATCTTCAGGCAAGCTTTATTTACTAAAAGACAAATAATATACCTCTATACCCACCATTAATGTGGAAGGAGTCTATCCATTTTTTTTTTTTTTCAAGGAAAGGTCTCACTTTATAGCCCTGACTGGTTTTGGAACTCATTAGAAGACCAGGCTATTCGCAAACCCACAGAGATCTGTCTGCCTCTTGAGTGCTGGAATTAAAGGTACTTGCCATCATCTTTACCTCAAATTCTTTTTTATTTTATATGTAGGAGGGTTTGGCCTGCCTGTATTTCTGTACAACATGTATGTATGCTTCTGTGGCCCACAGAGGTCAGAAGAGGGAGTTGGAGCTCTTGGAACTAGAGTTCCAGATGGTTGTGAGCCCCTGTGTGAGTGATGGGCTGGGTCTTTTGGTTCATCCTTGCTCTTAACTGCTGGCCTGTCACTGCAGCCCCTCAAATTCTTGTTTAATTCTTGTGTAATTTATCATTTTCCGTCAAACTCCTGCTGTCTGCGTTTCCTTCCATCCTAGTAGGTGTCTGGATATCGTGTGTGTGTGTGTGTGTGTGTGTGTGTGTGTGTGTGTGTGAGAGAGAGAGAGAGAGAGAGAGAGAGAGAGAGAGAGAGATTTGTCATTGAGATTTTCCATTATATCGAATGGCTTTATACTGAATGACTTAACAGATTTATACTGAATGAATATACAAATGATACCTACTGCCTAAAATACTCTCCTATCATTTGGTATGGTGTCATAGACTTTACAACCACTACTTCAGTTAACCTTTATAACACTAGGACTTACCTTCTATTATGAGTGCCTATAAAAAGCTATGAGTGACTATTTTTGTGACTATATATAAAAAAAGTGGGACATGGGGATGGTAAATAATTTGCTGAAGTTCACATTGAACATACAATGTGGGGTCTTCCAGTACGCTGAGGCTACGGGAAATGTTTGGCTATGTGCCGGGTATAGCAATCCCTTACTCTTGAGCACTTTTTTTTTTCTACTGTTCTTAGTTGGGACACTTAAGTGTGTAAACTTTTGCTTCCTTACTGATACCTTTTGCCAATGGGATATAAGCCAAATATGCCATACGCTGTTTAGATGCCAGTCACTTTTCAAACTGCAAATTAGAGTCTGCTTCTTGCTCCATCCTAATTATAGTTCCAGGATGCAACACATAAATTGCAGTGATGTATTGGCCCGTTGAGAACAATCCCTAGCCATGAGCTACGGAGGGTGCATTCAGAGAACTCGGGAAGTGAGTTCATCTCAAGGCGGCTAGTGAAACAAGACCAAAGTGAATTTATGGTTGTAAGCCCATGGGCATAAATTAGGAGGAAGTGTTTGATTACATCGTTTTCCCTGTGGACGTGAGCCCTCCTGGTCTTTCCCATGTCGTGCTGGAGAGCTGGGACAGTGGCCTTGTGTCCATCCTTAGTTACTTCTCAGCACACGGGCACATCTCCGTCCGTCGCGTCTGTGCCGTGGTTTTCCTGTCAGGTTCTGGTTCTGGGAAACGTGACATTAAAAACACTCGTTAATATTTCCCAGTGTCCTCTGGTTTAGGCTTTAAGTGTCTAAAATGCTTTTGCATTGGTCGCAAAGATACAGCTGTGTCAACTTTTAAGACAGTATTTTAAGAGCCTTTTTGCTTAATATCACAATGGGTTTTCCAAAAAGTGTTTCTATTCATTAGGATTTTACACCATGCCGTATATTTTTTAAAAAATAAACGTATCCTAAAATGATCATAGCTGCACAGAGAAGCTGTGAAGACTTATGCAGAGTCTCCAAACACTTCACAGGCTATTCCCCCACTGTTAGCATCTTGTATTGTTTGGTAGAGTTGGGGGTGACTTCCAAATGGCTCTGATATATTTTTAATAACTGAAGCCCTGATTTTACTCAGGTTTTCTTTACTTTCATGCAGTGACAAGTTGTCTTTCCCAGAATCCTGTTGACATCGTGGAAAGATGCCCCACATGTCCCTGAACCTGGAGCTCCTGGATAAACCAATTGAAGACCTCTGGGGTGGAGAGCCATCGAAAGCCACCAGACACGCCTGTCTCCTTTCTGTGTGCTCCTTTGCATGGCTGGGAGTGAGGGGGATGGTTGGAAGCTCTCCTCCACACATCCAGGGATCTCAGGTAGCTGACTCTGCCATCTTTTTTTCTCCTTTCCTGGCAGTGGGAGCAGCATGCCAGGCCCAGCAGCCCTCGGCTTTGCTGTCCTACCAGAGCCTTGCCTTATTTGACCTGTTATTATTGTCTTTGCCTTGCTGCATAGAAAGCATTGCATGCTCTGAGACAGAGAGTCTCAAACGTGAGCATCCATCAGAGTCCTTGACAGACTTGTTCAAATGGTGTCCGTGCTGGTCCCCATCCCTGGGGCTTCAGCAGATGAACCTCTGATCAGGTCCCAGAAGCTGCTTCTGCCGGTCTTCAGTGTTGCATTAAAAGCCACTGTCCCCATCCAATCAGAACACCATTACCCCAATGAGGGAACCTTACTGGTCTACACTGCACCAACCAAATCCTGTGACTCGGCAGAAATTCCTAAGAGCTTTGAGAAAAATGCCCTACACTGAGGCCCCACCCCAGGCTGGGTATGGGCAGCTTGTTAAAAGTTTAAATAAATGATGTTATATAGTAGATCATTACGTAAACATAATAAAAATAAGCAAATCGTAAAGTTTTCTTGTGGGAGCAAGAACAAGCCTGCTTGAGCAGATTTACATTAGAGAAGCCATCTTTCCTTTTCTGCTGTCCAGGAAAAGGGGATGCAACCCTGTAGCAGCCAGCTGGGTACCACAGAGGAGTCTAGTCTCAGGACGGAGCCCACATAGGGCAAAGCAGAGCACTGAGGAACACAGGGACTTTAGGGACGTCTCCGAGTTGCTCATCCCTCAGTACTTAGAGCCTCTTCTACCTTGGGACTCCTGCTTATGGGAGATAATATGTTTCCTCATTCTTTAAGTCAACGTATGTCACAATTCTTAGTGACCAGCCTTCAAGATCATCCTGACAGATACTGAGAAATACAGCCACCCTGTAATCCTAAGAGACAGTATCTATTTAAAGTGAGGGTGTAGTGGTGCATGCTTTTAATCCCAGTACTTGGGAGACAGAACATGAGGAGCTCTGTAAACTGGTCCACGTAGCAAGTTCTAGGTCAGCCAGGACTATTTGGCAGAACCCAGTCTTGAATAAATATATGCAAATGTATCTATTTTTATTTTATTTTTTAATAAGTAAATTTAATTTAATTGAGACAAGGTCTCACTGTGTATCCCTGACTGGCTTGGAACTCACTTGTGTAGACCAGGCTGACCTTGAACTCTGAGAAATCTGTCTGCTTCTGCTTCCCAAGTGCTGAGTTTAAGTGTATGCTGCCATGCCTGACTAAACAAGTATTCTTGAAGCCCAGCGCTTGAGTCTCTGCCTCGAATACTCTGCAGAAGTGTGACTCAGGAGAGGCCAGACAGACTGACATCAGAGGTGGATCTAATGCAAGGATGGGGTGGGCCTAAGGCAGGCCAAGAGCAGAGCTCCTCCCGGCCTGCACCCTGCTTAACTATGCCTGGGAGTGCTTCTTCACAGCTGAGAAAATGAAGAGAACAGTCAAGTCCTGTCTTTCCTGTGTGTTTAAAACAATTCATTTTCTAATTCTACCTAAGGAAATACTAAATACTAGTCCAATAAGAGGTTGCATTCTGACTGTATTCTGTATGAGTTGTTTTCTTGAATTGCAGTTTATTTTTAGGCAGTAATTCTTCTCTTTTTTAAAAAAATATTTACAGTTAGAAAATATGGTAGTGCATAATTCTCAACACTGGGAGACAGAAGGAAGGAAATGGCTGTCCAGTGGTTTATGGCATGCATTTATTTTTTTTTCCCTTTTTTTTTTTTTTTGGTTTTTCGAGACAGGGTTTCTCTGTGGTTTTGGAGCCTGTCCTGGAACTAGCTCTTGTAGACCAGGCTGGTCTCGAACTCACAGAGATCCGCCTGCCTCTGCCTCCCGAGTGCTGGGATTAAAGGCGTGCGCCACCACTGCCCGTATGGCATGCATTTAGTATACTAAACTACAAAACAGAATAGCAGGTAAGGGAGAGAGAAAGAGAGAGGGAGGGAGAGAGAGAGGGAGGGAGGGAAGGAGGAAGGGAGGGAGGGGGGAGAGAAAGAGAGAGAGAGAGAGAGAACAGTCTAGATGATAATTGAGGACCTTGGAGAAGCAGGGGTGTGGGGTGAGACTTACATTCAGTTGTTTCTCCTTAATGGGCTTGTGTTACAGTTTTAGAAAGAAATACAATTAAGGATACGCTTTTCTTTGCCCTGCTTAAAAACAAGTCTCTATTCTCCTGTGCTGGCCCTTGGCTTCTTGGCACTAGAAGTGTCTGACGGCACTGCTGTCTTGGAGGGGCCTTAAGTCCTGCAAACTGCATTTCCCAGAGGCCTTTGCCAGCCATCTGGCTGCCTGCCCATGGCAGGGAATCCGCACAAAATGAGGAAGCAGTTTCGCCCTTATCTTAAACTCCTGCAAGTGGCTAGGTAGGGTAGGGGACACTAGCAGTAGTGGGGTTCCCACGGCTTTTTAGCAGTTTCAAGGACCCCACGGCTAGCTCCCAACTGTGCAGGTGGCTTCCCTGGTAGTCAGGGGCCAGCCACTCCTGGGTACTGAGCATATCATGCCTTCCATTTTTTCCTTCACAGGAAGTCTCAGTGACTTTCTGAAGATGTTTTTTCCTAGGTTACCTGGGCCCTCAGGATCCTACAGTTGTCCAACATATTTATGACTGTTTCCTTGTGGAAATACCTTCTATGTGTTCTACTACCTTAGCTAAACACCAACTGATATGCCCGAACGTCCTTCCAGGTCACAGGGAGTCTGCCAGCAAACACTGCCAGGGCACCTCCAGCTCCTCTCCTCTCCCAGTCTCCACTGCCTTTGCCAATCCACATCCATCACCACTTCCCACAGTGAGGACCACAGACTCCTCAGACCTCCCAGCTTCCACGCCGGGACCACCTCCATGGCTGCGCAATCACAGAAGCCCCGGTCTGCTTCCCAAGGAATAGGTCGGATGGAGTCGCCCTCTTTTTGTGGGCGTTTCCTGAAATTGCCAACCCTTGACAAAAAGTGTGCGTGAGATTCACCTGGGCTACGGCCACAAAAAGCCCTAACATGGGCTGAGAAGATGTCATACATTGACCACAAGCATGAAGGTCTCAGATCTGAACCCCCGCACCTACACAGAAAACCAGGCAGGCATGAGTGTATAATCCCCGCACTGGGGAGACAGATAAAAGGTCCTGCAGGGTTTCTGGCTGGCCTGTCTAGCTCTGGGTTCAGTGAGAGACTCTGTTTCCAAATACAAGGCGGAGAATCAACTGAAAAAGACATTTTTTGAAAAAGATCCGAAGTTGATCTCTGAATACCATAGACACACATGCTTACCTGTGCATGCACACATGAACACGGATATGAACACTTGTGCATGTATGCGCGTGAACACACTCAGAGGAAAATAAAATGAAACTTAGCTCGGGAAGATGAGTGGCGCAGGCTCGGCGCTGTTACTATGTCTTCTTCATTCATCGGGACCCAGTCTCCCATAGTTGCCCAAGTCCAGTCTCTTACCACCTCTACAATGTGTCCATCCTTGTTTCTTCCCTACAGAAACCCAAGTGTTTGTGGTCTGAGCACTCCGGAGCCTGAAGCAGAGGATCGAAAGTTTGATCAGTCTGGGCTACACGGTGAGGACCTGTTTCAAAAAAAAAAAAAAAAAAGGCAACTGACATTTTATTGTTGGTTTGTTTTTCTGGGTCGACCTTCTTTCTGTCTCATTCAGGACTATGGGGGCAGGAAGATGCCAGTCACAGGATCCCTACTGCCAAGCCCTGAGCCTGACAAAAACCCCGCTGTTTGCTATAAACTGGCAAACACTGTATACTTTACTGTTTCCCGATTCATGCACTGGCATCAACACCTTTAGCTCTTATTTCCTCGAGTGCTTTCAACGAGGCATCCGACCACACCTTCATCCATCCACTTATTCAGTGCACAAGTAGTTCTTGGTGTCTCAGTGTGTCAGGCACCCAGCAGCAGAGCCAAAGACAAGAAGATATCAGGGTTCCTGTACTTCTGGGCTGCCTGCAGGAAGACAGACAGAATATCAGGAAGTCCCCAGACAAGCACAAAACTGTGGGTAGGTGTTGAACGTGGAGAGAATGAAGGCAGGTGAATGGAGGTGGTGGGGGTCACCTCAATCCCATAGCATCATCAAAGTCTGCCTTGAAAAGGCCACCTTTGCCCAGAGGCTAGAATTCCCCAGAAGGAATGGGAAGTTACGGTCTCTCCTCCCTTCCCTCTCTAAACAATAAAACTTTGTTTTTATCTTATGTGCATTGGTATTTTACCTGCACGTGTGAGGATGCCAGATCCCCTGGAACTGGAGTTACAGACAGGTGTGAGCTGCCATGTAGGTGCCGGGAATTGAACCCGGGTCCTCTGGAAGAACAGTCAGTGCACCCTAAGCAATTAAAAGAACACAACCTTAACATAAATGCAAAGGTCAACAAAATCCTGGTTTCCCCTTAGCTGCAAGTATCTGAATACTTTTCTGGGAAGAGCTAAAAATCAATTTCTTTCCTAATAATTTTCTCAGTTTTAGGCTTTTCTCTGCTGATTTTCAAACAATCCATTTGTTCAGGGCTGTCCAAGCAAATATCTGAGGAAATATCTGAGAGAATTCTAGGATGGGGGGGGGGCGCGGGGCGGGTCTCTAACATGAAAGCTGGTGCCTACAGTCCGTGAAACAAACAGCGCCACTGGGCCAATCAGGCGCGGTCTGACACATACTGTCTATGGCTACTTCCCTATCTGCACGTCTTTGAAAATGGGGCCTCCCATCACTGTTATACAGCTGCACAGGAAATCAATGCCTGCGCCATTCACTGTGGTTGCAGCGTGGGTTTATTTCCCCCTAAAAGGAACCTTGGTGTCCTTCAGAACAGAGCTTTGTAGATGACCCCCTACTTAAGACATGGACTGCAAGAACTCAGCTGTTGCTACACGGTTAGCAGATTGATCAGGGTTCCCGTGACGCTTTCCTGGTAACTGGCCAGGAGGACTCAGGGAAACCCTTGTGAGCACCCAAGCTGCAGGGAGACAGGGCAAGGCAGCCCTCTTAGTGGTTCTCTGTGCTCAGGGCCAGCAGAGCTCCTCCAGGAATGTTTGCTTTGTTTTGTTTTTGGTTGTTTTTTGGTTTGGTTTTTTGTTTTTTGTTTTTTTGTTTGTTTGTTTGTTTGTTTTTTTGAGACAGGGTTTCTCTGTGTAACCACCCTGACTGTCCTAGAATTCACTCTGTAGACCAGGCTGGCCTCCAACTCACAGAGCTCCACCTGCCTCTGCTGGGTTTAAAGGCGAATGCCAGGTGTCTCCAGGATTTCTATAGACCTTGGTCTCCATCATGCCCCTCTCCTTTCCTGGAGATTGGAGGCGGGCCCTAACCCAGCTGAGGCTAAGGCAGCATATTAGCATAAATTCAAGTGTCAGCCAAGGGACCTTTGAGGATTGGCAAAAGACACTCTATGGCTAACAAAATTCCCAGGGTTTTAGAAACTGATGACCGAAACCGTGAACAAAGACCAAACCTACTGCCCTGTCTTAGTGACTTTTCTCTCACTGCGATAAGACACTGTGACCGAGGAAGCACATAAAATGAAGAGTTTATTTGGGCTATGGTTTCAGAGGGTTCGAGTCTATAATCATCATGACGGGGGGGGGGGGGGGGTTGGCAACAGGCAGGATGACTCTGCTGGAGCAGTATCTGAGAGCTCACATCTTGTAACAGAACTACAAGGCAGGAAGGGAGAGGGAGGAAAGTGGCTGGGAATGTGGGAGTGGCCAGAGTCTTTTGAAACCTCAAAGCCCACCCCCAGTGGCCCACCTCCTCTGAGAGAACCTGGGAGCTTAGGGAAGGACTCGGTAAACTTTAGACAAGGTCAGAAGCTAGGGAGAGGAACTGAGGCAGGGGCAACCCTGACTAGCTTTGCTTCTCCCCTCACTAAGAACTGGGGGAACTGGGCTGATGAAAACAGGGCGACTCTCCAATGCAGGCGCAAACTTTGAGCAGCACCAACTGTGCTCTTTGAAGAAGGGGCCACCACAATGGCCAGCCATGAGAGTTCCTCTAAAGAGACTTCTCTCCGGTGGAAACCTTCATTTCGTGCAAAGAGCAGAAACAAACTCTGTATTCAGAGGGCACTGGGCTGGACCGTGCTGGATGATGTATCAGAGGCGTTGAAAGAAGCCCTTGATGCAAATCCAGAAAAAAAAAAGGACAGGGGTCTCGGTAGGGCACATCAGGAAGGGTTAAAGAGCCAAGCACTAGAAATGAAAGCATTCAGAGATTTTAAACATTATTATAGTGACTGTCCCTAGTCCAGGGTGGAAATGAGCTCCGGTGTTCACGGGGGAGGTTCCTGTTGCTGGGAGTTTCCAGACAGAGGTGCCACACAGCTTGGTTGGACACAGGATGGTAACTTTGAGGTTGGACTGCTTGACAGCTATTACTTTTCTGGCCTATCAAGACGTTGAGAATCTCTGTGATACTGGCACTTCGGAGTCTCTCTTTCCTCATGGGGTCTCTCTCCTTTCTCTAGTCCAATTATACATATTATCTCTCTCTCTCTCTCTCTCTCTCTCTCTCTCTCTCTCTCTCCATTATCTGCTCCCACTTGCTGCTGCTGCTGCTGTAGTAGCTGGCCTGTCTGGCAGCACTGAATATTCACTCAGACTGGCTTGTGCTCTCTCTTTGGCTATCAGACTCTTGAAAGGATGAACCCCAAGAAATTAGTATTTCCCCAGGAAGCTCCTGCTGGGAAGAGGAAATGGTTGAAGCCCTGGGGACAGCCAGAGAAGGACATTGTCTCCTGGAGAGAAGACTTACAGCTTGTTAGATGGCCTCGCAGGACGGACTAGGAGCTTGGACAGTGGTGGGCAGGAGACACAGCTGGCCTGTTTTGTTACCCGGGTTTCTTCCTTCTATTTAAAGCCCACCCTCAACCCTTCACGCTCATCTGCCCCACCGCAGATGGACTGGAAGGTGCTGATTTTCTTTGCCCATCTTTCTAGTGTGGCCATAATGAAATCTCACTTTTCTGTTTCTCACTATTAATTTGGCTCCTTTAATTGGTTTAGCGAGCACGGATGACAAACCTGGAAGGGATCCAGGCTGTGATTTCTAAGTTTGATAACTCTGCCAATGATTTATTCTTGGCTCCACTGATTGCATTAAAGGCCATGGCTATATAGTGTTTGCATACAAATATGTTTCCTGTCTCTACCTAGCGCTTACATGCACCTGACAATGATCCCTCTTTGACTTAGGAATTTTTTAGAACAAGGGCACCTCTTCTCCCTATATATATTCTGGTACACAGCCACAGATCTCTAAGATCCTCATAGACAGGCAAGACTAATGGCTACTTGCCAGTGGTGGTCTAGAGCGAGCATTAGATTGGTCAGAATCAGAATTATCTGGGAGCCTCCCCTGTAGGCAAATTTAATCCATTATTATCAATGGGATCTTGAAGGTAGAGTGCAGCAGGGATGGTGTCAAGGGCCATAAAAATACGATGAATGCACAGTCACAAGCCTAGGAACCCTGAAAAACCATCACCTAGACCAGAGCTAGGGGAAAGTCAGCTAGGATCTGACATTGAGGTGGGAAGAAAAAAGAAAGAAGAAAAAGAGGTCAGGACAGAGCTGTAGACTGGAGCTGAAGCAGCCAAGTGAGGGACTCGGGGAGAGAGATGGCAAAAGGTGACGTGCACTGAGCACCTCCCCAAGGCCAGAAACTAAGGGTGTCACAGATACCATCTCATTTAACTTCAAAACAACCTTGCAAGCTAAGAAATTACGAGTGAAATGACTCAGTGGGTAAGAGCACTAGCTACTGTTGGAAAAGAATATTCTTGACGTTGTACAAAGAAACATATGAACAAAGCAAAAACAACATGGCAAGGCAACTTCTTTTTGTAAAAAGGCTACACTACCACCCAGACGACACAAGAAGGAGGGCGGCTGTTCCTCCTTAGCTGAGCTGCAGCCTTCCAGTCTGTACAGGATTGGCTAATTTGGAAGCCACAAGGGGTCTGCCTGTCCTACAAGATGGGGGAGATATGCAGAATATTGATCCTTGGTGGATAACCACCTTTGCTTAGGGGAAAAACAAAATTCTCATGTTGAAATTGGAGCGGCAGGGCTGCGTCCCCAGCACCCGGCCGCCCGCCCGGCTAGCTCATGCCCGAAATAACAACACACAAACTGTATTCATTTAAGAACTGCTTGGCCTGAACTCTAGCCCTTACAGGCTAATTCTCGCACCTGGACTAGCCCATTTCTAATGATGTGTGTAAGCATCCCAAGGTGCGCTTACCCGGAAGATTTTAGCCAAAGTCCATCGTGGTGTCTCTGCTCCAGAGAGCAGAGCTCTTGGGTCTACCCGGGAGAGCTGAGCATGGCTTCTCTCAGGAAGCAGTCATGCTAGGCCTTAGCCAAAGTTGGTTGACTCAACATTGCGAACGAGAATTTGGGTGATTGCCCAGGTAGTCTGTTGTCTCTGTCATTTATGGCACGCTTTGGATATCGCTCATTTGTTAAGTAATATTTATTCCCTTCTCGGATCTTTGATGGAGTTGAAGATTATATAATTGTAATTACTCTCTACATTATTTAGACTCCTTGAGATAGAATGTCTGGTAAAACTTTTGTTCTCAATATTGTTTGTTATATCTATTATTTATTATTATTGTTTATAGTTGTATTTAGGTTAGTTCTGTCTTATTTAGACAAAAGGAGGGAGATGTAGGGATAAGCCCTCCCCTTGGGGGCGGGCTGCCCTCAGGCGTATGTTTACTGATATAGTGCGCGGGCAGAGGCTGCGCGGGCCCTTCCGCTTGCTCTCCTGTTTCCGCTGGCCACTCCGCTGGAACCTTGGTTTTGTGAGTCCTGTTATTAAATTTGTTTAAATATCAATTACTGGTGATTTATTGATCCGACCGCTGCATTCTCACAAGCATGAACACCTGGGTTCTATTCCCAGCCCCCACATCAAAAATCTAGGCATGGCTGCATACAATGACCTGCTCTGGTCTCCACATCATGCCCACAGGTGCATGCCTCTGTACACATGTGTACATATATCATCCATATACACACACATACACACATACACACATACATACATACATACATACATACATACATACATACATTCATAGTTTTCATCCTAGTTTCACAGCTGTGAAAATGAAGGATTGGGAAATTCGAGTGGCTTCTAAGGCACAAAACCAGTGCACGGTAGAGCTGGGATTTAGGTCGCATCACTCCTCCGCTCCCCCAGAGAAGAAAGGAAGTGCCCCTGTTATCACAAACCAGCGCCTGGCAGCTCAGAGAGCCTGAGAGGTCCCCGGAGAGCCCCAGTGTGATCTTAGGCACATGGGCTGCATCAGGAAAGAGCTCTGG